CTCCCAGAACTTCCAGACCTTCGGCCTTCCCATGCGCTCGCTCCAGGACCGGCTAAAAGAATTTTGCACAACCAGGTTTCCGCCGGCGTTCTTATAGGAAACATTTTTCATCATAGGTTTGCTTCGTTAGGAAGAGGTTTACCTTCCAGTGCACTGTCCACATTGGCATTTCAAAAACAAACCGGTTCCATCACTCCCCACTCGTATCCCGGGAACCCAGCTACCCCAGCGATTTCCCATCTACCAGCAGCTGCTGGAAGGAGATGTGAAACCCTCCGCCTTTCTCTCTGTTTTCCTATTCCCCATAAGATGTAATGGTAATGAGGTATGTTTTTATCCTGGAAAGTCTTTCAGGGACTACCCTGGACTGAATAACCCAGACTTGAGGGAAGGAAAAGCGTGCTGAGGGAGGTGCCCATCGGGGGAAAGGACAGGGAGCCTGTCGGGCGGGGTAGACCACAGACCTGCAGAGCAGGGGGTAGACGGCGCTGCAGGCCGGAGGAGTGAGGCTGGTGGATTACTCACTCTTCTCAGCTCCCTTCTGGCTCCAGGAGGGCGTGCCTCCCTGGCTGTAGGCCCCGGGCTGAGGGCCCCGGGGGGCGGGGCCTGCCCGGGGCTCCGCCCGCTCCCTGGGAGCCTTGCAGGAGGAAGCTGGCAGCCTGGGCGCGGGGCTGCAGCCGGCACAGGCGCATCAGCGCCAAGGACACCCGAGGCCCCGTGACGCAGCGGGGAACGCTGACAGGCTCTCGCGGGTGAGGAATGTCACCTGCCACGGCAGTAAACAAAGCGTGTTGCCGCGACACCCCCCACCCCATGGTGCACCCTGAGGGGATTCAGGACCAGCAAAAGCAGGATGCTGGCCCATTAGATGCTTAGAAGGCATCGCAAAGGAACGATTCCAGCGAGTGCAGACTCCCGCATCCTCCCATGCACGGAAGAGCACTCCTTCACGTGAGATGTCTGGTTTTCTTCAGCAGTAATCTTACGATGTTCCGACTACTTGTTTGTCGTTTATCTTCAAAAAGTCCCCCAGAGCCGAGAGGCTGTCTCCCGGGCTTAAGTCCTCAGTAAGTTTGCTGAATAAAACACAATTCTCAACTTCTATGTTGTGCTTTTTATGTTTTATTTTTCTCCCAGTTGGCACTCTCAAGCAAAAGCCAGATGTACTTACATTCGGGTATCTGAGGGAGGTTTAAGGGTACGTCTGAGGTGGGGAACCTCGCCGGCGGTGCGCAAGGTTCCCAGCTCTCCGCGCCCTCCTCGACACTAGTTAGGTGCTTTTTTTTACAGCCATCCTAGTGGGTGTGAAGTGGTATCTAGCTGTGGTTTTGACTGGCTTTTCCCTGATGAATGATGTTGACTATCTTTTCGTATGCTTATTGGCTCTTTGTATGTCCTCTTTGAAAAAATATTTGTTAAAAAACTTTGAGTTTTTGAGTTGGGTTGCTTTTGTTATTGTTGAATTGTAGCTCTTTATATATTCTGGATATTAACCCTTATCAGATGTAAGATTCCGTGGACTGGTTGTCTTTCACTGTCTTGATGGGCTCCTTTGATGCACAAGTTTTTAATTCTGATGAAGACCAATTTTTCTTTTTCTTTGGCTGCTTGTGCCTTTGGTGTCATATACAAGAAATCATTGCTAAACCCAGTGTCGTGAAGAAGTCGTCACTCTGTGCTGCCCACCCTCCCAACAGCTGAAAGCAGCAATCAGCAATCAGAACCCACAACCCTGATTTTTGATGAGAAATGTCAGCTCCTATTGCTTAAAGCAGGCCCCTGGCTCTAGCGGCCACACTAGGAACGTGGGTTGCTGTCCTATGGCTGACTGTCCTGGGGCTGGGTGATGGAGGGTGATATTAAAGGGAAGCTGAAACTGACAGAAATTGACCAAAATTGACCAGCCACTTCATCAAGCTGCCTCCTCGGCAGAGAGGAGTTTATTCCGACGGCTCCTGCCAGTTCAACGGTTCTTTTGCTAGAGGGATGGATTCCTGGAGCTTTTACTCCACCCCCTTCCCTGACGTCACCTGTAGGTAACCAGATTTTATGACCAGAATAAAACACACTGTAAGTTTTAGCCCTAACATAGGTTGTCCCCGTCAGAAAACTCACATTGGTGGCTGATTCACTGATGGTCGCTTCACCAGCAGGTCACTTCACTATGTGCCCGTTCCCCTCTCTACAATTGCTGCTCTGAGCACCCCATTCCTGCAATGCTCTGTCCAAGTCAAAGGCCCGTGCTCACCCGCCCAGGGGCGAGCATGGGCAGCACTGACCACCGATTGTAGCTTAGAGCAGATCAGCGGTCTTACTTCACAGCCAACGTCAGGAAGGCATCTTGGTTTCCTCTAGAGGTAGGGAAGGGAGGAAACCACAGCTCCTCTTCAGAACTGAATCAGGAAACCCTACTGCCTGCAGCTGAAACGTTTCTCAAAAATGAAAACAATGTTTCAAAGGGTGCTTTGAGGTCTATGATAGAATTAATTTTTAAGTCAATCACCAGCCCGTCAGTTTGGGGAAGTGCTTGGAAAACAGACCATCCCCTGTAACTCTGGGGGCTGAAAAGGGTTTGCGGATTATTAACTGGCTGTCTTTCCGTTGTGACTCCACCACTCGACTTTAAATAGCTTCGTTCAAACAAGGTAGAGAAAACTTTTTTTAACAAAAAAATTTATTTTCTGCACTAGTATTTATACAGCTGTAAACTCAAGGAATCATCCAATACTTGTACAAATCTGGGGGAAGAGTTAATAAGCACCTTCAACGGTTTCCACAGTTTAAGAATTTACCATTTAAAACGGTTTAGAATGAATCTAGTGAAATGAATAAAAGTTATAAAAACTATACAAAAAATTACGACAGAACATTTGATATAGGGGGCGTGATAAATATAAAAACAAAGTGAAGCTAATTAATGGGGTGGAACGATATGAAACAAAAGATCCATATGTTCTCCAAACCTTGTGATGCTTGGGGATATACCTGCCTCTCAAGTCAAACTCCAATTATTCCGGGAAACACTCTCTCTCAATTCAGGCTCGTGTGCTGCAGGTAAGGGGGTGGGGGGGCTACGTGTGCTGAGCTTTGCAGATAAGCAGAGGGATCGCCCCCTGAAGGAGAAAACCAGGCCATTTCTTCCGCGGTCTTGCGTGTTAGTGTTCTTTGGCAAAGAATATGCCGTTTTCCCTTTGGGGTTATTTAAAAGGTTTTCTTCCCACTTCTGTTAAATCCCCTCCTCTGCCTTTACTCTGGGGTTTCCATTCCTGCTTCTGGTTGATCTCTTTGCGATACTGTCATGGGGTCTTCTCTGCTCCCTCACCCCAGACTTCACTGACTCAACCTCCTGATGCTCAGCAACCAATCCAAAATTTCCACTCTTCTAGGACTCTGGGAAGCAGCTCATTAAAAAAAATAATAACACTAGCTACTCATGTGATCAGGAGATGTTTTCTAAACCAACTGGAGAAACATGAACATGAAATGTGGCAATGGTCCTTTTAATTACACCAATGAGCAGTAAAGGGTTGGGGTCATATATAAATATCCAACTTGACCCTCCTGGATTATGTCTTCAGCTGAGAATACGGACAGCAAGGGCCATGGACAGAAGGGGAGACAAAGGAGGAGCAGGGTCATGGCTGGCTGCAGACTGGCTCTCAGGAGTGGAGGCCAGAGGTGAGGGACGACAGGGGGACGTCACTGCCACTGGCCCCGGCCCGTGTCTCGGGTGGGTCTCCATGAGGGGGCTGGGCACAGGTGCCATGGTGGGGCTGCGATGCCCAGGAGACCAGGGGCTGGCATCTAAGCACTTTGGACACAGGGGGACAATTTGGTGATCTTTGGTATCATTTAAGGCACATCAGTAGAATCCCCATCCTCAAACATCTGACTTGACACCTTGCAGTTCCTTCCCACTAGATGCTCCTGTGATTTAAGCCCTTCACTACCAAAGGCCACTGCGGAGACGCCAGTGACGCACCCGGGAGGGGCTGCTCAGTATGACCTACCAAACGCTGATGCGTCCCTGGGACAGGCTGGGCTTTGATCCAAAGGCAAGGTTGGCTCGCTAAAAGGTGGGCCTTGGGCAGGGTGCGGGTGGTACAGGATTCCAGGGTGAAAGGTCAGAAGGATAAAGAGGAAAACCAGAGCACCAAGAGAAGTAAGGGGGGCTAACTCCCTGCCTCCCTCACAGCCTTGCCTAGACGACCCTGGCTGCTGTGTCCAGCAGCTGACCAGACGATGGGCGTCTCGGCGAGGCTGAGCTCGCAAGGCCCCCGGGAAGGGGCAGCGCAGGCCCGGGGAGTGGAGGCTGGGGAAGGGTCTGGAGCGCCGGGACGGCATCTAACCCTCCCTCGGGCTGTGTGGGCTTGTCTGAGGGTTGGGATCAGGGAGGTCTCTGTCTTTGTGTAGCGGCAGGGGCTGTCCCATTCCAGTTGGGGCACAGGCTGGGTTGGGCCTGGGCTTGGTGGCCACAGAGCCACCACGTCAGGCAGTTTGGACCCTTTCAAGTAGGGTGTGGCTGTGAAATACTTGGAGAGGGAACTCGGCCCCCTGGTCTTCACTTCACTTCAGCTCAATACAGTCAACGCCCAGGGTGTTGTCAGGGCAACGGCAGGTCCTGCCTCCGGGGGTGGCCAAGCAGAGGTGCGTGCAGCCGCCATTGTTCACAGAGCAGTAGTTGTGACCTGGAAAAGGCAGAAGTCAGCGCGACAGCTCAGGCAGCATCGCAGTTACCAAACAGACCCCAGGGAGAGGCTTCCAGCTCTGATTAGAACACGGAGCTGGGCTTTTCAGCACGAAGTACTCTGTCTGGCTTGGCCACTTGACTAGGGGACGGGGGTGGGGGGAGTGGGAAGGGGAGCCGGCGAGGAGAGGAGTCTCGCAGAGGCGGCACAGTTCGACTCTGCAGCCGGGCCGCCCAGCTCACCCCAGCTTCTGCCACCGTGAGCTGTGTCACTTCAGGCAAGCGGCTTCAGCTTCCTTATTTATAAAGTGGGCATAAGAGTCGTACCCGCCTCACAGGGTTGCTATGAGGACAAAGTGAACCGGTGAACACAGAGCAGTCAGTACGCGGAGCGACTCAGTACAGGAGCGGTACCCAGCATCATGTCCACGCCGGCAACGGTTATTATCGTTAATTTCTGTTGGTGCTGTCAGGCCAAATGGACGGACTTTTAAAGCAGCAGAGATCCTAACACTGACGTCCCTGGTCGGAGCCGGAAGACCGCACACTTCTAGGCCCACTCGAAGAGTCAGTGCTCTTCCTCACCCTGGCCCACCATCCACTCCTGCCCCTAACGTTTCCCCTCGGTTCACCGGGCTCACCAACGCGTCAGTGAAGGCCCTTGGTGGAAGGGACTGTGTCTCACCTGCCACATGACCCGGGCTACCCACAGCCACACAGGGACCAGCCGGAGTGTGGGCTCTGCGCCGGGTGCCCCCAGCCCCTGACTAGTCAGAGCACCAGGGAGTTACCTTCAGGACACTGCGACAGAGCGGCGGCGATGCCGTACAGCCGGGTCTGCTTGTGAGGGTGGAAGGTGTCCGTCTCTTTGGAAACAGCAAGGTCCACGGCAACCACAGAACTCCTACGGGGCCCCAGAGAACAGGCGGTGAGAACACAGCCGATGGCTCGACCTCCTCTCTACAGGGCCGTCTCATCCGTGGTCTGGGGCATGCACTGGCAGCCACAGCAGACACACTGGCCTTGCTTCCCACCCACCCCCCTCTTCCCAGGCGGCGTCAAGCCTGCGCTTCTCTGGCTTCTTAGAGCAAGGCCAGCCCTCCAGCTCCAAGTCCCAAGCTGGGCAATGGGCTTTCTACACGGATGCCCCCACCACAGTAGCTAGCGCTGTTTAAACCCGGGCCTCTGCAGGAAGGACTGGTCAAGAGGGCACTTCGGGAACACCGCAGTTAAAGGACTGTAATGAAGGTGGGGCACGGAGTGGGGGGTCGTGGGCACGGAGCCCACCGGCCGAGTGGCCCAGGCCAGCTCCTGGGGGAAGAAGAGACACGCTCAGGAAGTCCAAGTCCGAGGACTCGAAGCTGCCCACCCAGGGGCGTCCGGACAATAAATAGCGCCCCCTGCTTCCCGAGAAGCCCTGCCCACCCCTCGATCGCCCGCCTCGCCCAGCTCTGGGGGGCTGGAAGGGCAGGGCCAGGGGCCACTTGGGAGGGGCGTGGCCCCCAGGGAGGGCGGCAGGGCAGCCCCGGCCCCCGCACTGCGGCAGCTGACGTACGTCTTCCAGTCTGTGTAATACAGATTCTTCCCATAGCTCGTGACAGCGAAAGGATACTGGAGACCTTCAAGAACCGTGCGTCTGCTGGGCTGACTGGGCTTCAGGCATTCGGCCCGATGGGTGCCTGTGTGGGGTGGAAACAAGCCGTCCATTGTTCACACAAGAAACGGTCCCTTTGTGTTCAAACACGGGTCAGGCAAGGGTCAAAGTCAGCGGTACGCGCTCAGATCCCGAGAACTTGCTCTTCTAAATGAGAAAGGTGTCTGTTCGTCCTCCCTGGCCCCTCCCATTGGTCAACCCCACCTCCATCCAGCACTACACCTGGTTCTGATGGGGGACGGGAGCCGGGGCAGAGGGACGGTACCCCGTTTCCCCACTCCCGCAGAGGCTGGGAACTGAGTGGGAAGGATGCCATCTCCCAGCTCCCGCTGTAACCCCTCCTCCCTGAAGCCGCTCCAGGCCTCCCCTCCTTGCATTCACAGCCCTCAGAATTGCTAAATTGTTTGTAAATAAGTTCCTTTGTGTTATTTTTTTAGATTCCACATGTAAGTGGTATCATATGGTATTTTTCTTTCTCTCTCTCACTTAGGATGACAATCTCCAGTTCCGGGTTATTTACAAAAAAGAGACAGACTCAGAGACATAAAGAACAAACTTATGGTCACCAGTGGGGAGAAGGGGTGGGGAGGGATAAATTGGGAGTTTAAGATTTGCAGATAGTAACTACCATATATAAAATAGATAGACAAGTTTCTATTGTACAGCACAGGGAACTGTAGTCAGTATCTTACAGCTACCCATAATGAAAAAGAACATGGAAAAAACGTGTGTCTCTGGATGACTGAGACATTGTGCTGCACACCAGATATTAATGCAACATTGTAAACTGACTATACTTCAATTAAAAAAAAAGAAACGTGACGGGTACAACGTATATCTTAAGGTGAGCCAGAGGAACACACGGAACTCTAAGGGGAAACATATTTATGAAAAACCACAGCTTCAGGTTAGGGATTCTAATGACTAAAGCCTCGCCTGCTCCTCCAGGTCAGGTGGATGTCAGCGTGCACAAAAACTGCTAAACCGCGCCACAGGGTTAGCAGCTGTGCACAGCCTGGCACCAGCGCCCATGTTAGGACCGACCTAAGGCTCAGGTTTTCATCTAACTGTGCATGTCTTACTCTCTGCATCCCCCGTGGCACCTGACAGCATCTGGGACAAAGCAGGAACTCAGCAGAGATTTGATGGATGATTGACACTCCTCCCCGACCGAGCACCCTGCCCACATCCCTTGCCCGAGGGACACCCCAGATCTGCCCGGGCAAGGGCCCACAATCAGAGCTGCATGACTTTACCTGTCTAAACACTTGGGGACAAGCAGGAGCTACAAGACTGTAAGTCAGAGAATTGCTCAGTGTCAGGATGAGGACCGGCTCTGGGAGTCAGCGACTTTGTCTTTAAAGGGCCAGATAGTAACTATTTTAGGTTTTCTGGGCCAAGAGGCAAAATTGAGGACCTCATATAAGCATTGATATAACCTTTTAAAATGTCACATTCAAACATGTAAAAACCATTTATAGCTCCCAGGGTTATACCAAAACAGGCCACAGGTTGGATTTGGCCCAGGGGCTGTCGTTTGCTGGCCTAGAAGATGGAGAGCTCTCCCTGGACTGTGCCAAGCCCAGGGAAACAACATTTCAGAGCAAAGATACGCAGCTGTTTTTGTGTAGAGGAAAAAAACAGTTATCTTAAGCTCTCTTCCCTATAACAGATACTCCTACGTACCAACGGGGCTGGCTCACTCTGGGTAACAATACTTGGTCGAAAACAAAGCACTGTTCCCACCCGGGAGCCAGGCATCACCTGCGTCCACCCAGCAGAGCTGAGATGAGTAGGCATCAAAGGTGAGCCCGTTGGGCAAGCCCAGGTCGTCCTGCACAAGGATCCTCCGGTGTGAGCCGTCCATGTAGGAAGCTTCAATTTTGGGGCTGTCTCTGTTCCAATCTGTCCAATAAAGGTTCCTGGAGGGGAGGAGTGGGGAGAAGGAGGAAGAGAGATCATGAAGACGCAGGGGAAAACGTTCACGGAACCCCCGATGAAGACACGAGCAGACGCTGAAGCACAGAATGGCTAACAGACGTGGAGGTGGTAAGACACATTTTCCTTCGCAAAGACACTTGGATTGGGTTCTTCGCTTGAAACTGCCTACTCTGTTACTAATGATTTCACTTCCCTTAAGCGTAAGTGACAAACCCGTGGGAATCCCACCTGCTGCTGTCACCGCACAGGAAGGCGGAGCTGACCCAGGAGCTGGGCGCAGGAGCAGATGCTGGCAGAGGCGGTGATCACGGGACCTGCCGCCAGGAGGCGCCACAGAACAAGGGCTGCGGTCTCCGAGGGAAGGAGCCACGGGCCTGGTGTGTGAGATGCAGAGCTTGTAGTGAGGGGAAGGGGGAGAGAGAGAGCACTGTGTGCTGATGAAACCCACAGGAGGGGCCTCCAAGGTGTCCACGTGGGGTTGGCCCCCAGGAGGGAGCCCCTGGGATACATTTAAGCTCCCCTGATCTCGTCTGGGGCTGATACAACCCAGGTGTTGATCCACATTCTACCCAAATGGAAATATCAAATTTCTCTCGGTAAAAGACTTGAGTGTGGAACGTGGTGTAAACATTCTGGCGTTTCTCCGTGTATCTACAAGCCACCGGCTGTAGACCCACTCATCCTAAACTCACTCATGGCTGAAGAGCTATGTGGGAGTTACAGCTTGACATTTGAGAAGCTCCAAAAGGGGCGGATACAAGTGGAACAGGTGCACACACAGATCTACAGAGATACCCTCTCACGGAATCCGCTACGATGCCTCTGGGATTCACCAAATCGGTCTCAAATAGGACCCGGCGCTGGGAGCCATCCAGCTTTGCCACTTCGATCCGATCCAGGTGAGAATCCGTCCAGAAGATGTTGCGGCCAAGATGGTCAAGAGCGATGCCTTCCGGGCTTCCGAGATCTAGAGGCCAACACAGAGCACTATTGGGGTGTTTTTTGTTTTTTTTTTAGCAGGTAAGATTACTGATTTCTGATTACTCAGTGCTCCTCCACCTGGAGTCCAGTCCTTGCATGTTGAGAAAACAAATGGGGATGGGAAGTGCTTGTTGTTTATAAGTAACACTTAGCTGCAAGCTAAAAAAATGCCGCTAGGTCCCTTGATGGACAGCCACCCTGCACACTGCCTTGGGCCCACAGTGATGCGGAAGCCATGGCCCCGCCTTCGAGGAGCCCACAGCCAATCACAATTCAGACTGAGTTCCGGGTTCTGTGGGGGCATGGAGCCTGGGGAGACCAGGGAAAGATTCCCGGGGCTGTGACACCTCGCAAAGCTGGCTCCTGAAGTAACAACAGGACTTTGTCAGGCAAAGATCCTGGATCAAGGTTTTCCAGGTAGTGGGACCAGCACATAGGTATAAAGGAAGACTGGACATGGCTTGAAGTGAGCTGTTCATAATTTTGTATGGCTGCAGACCACGAGGGTGGAAGGCGGCCAGAGATGAAGGTAGGTGCCCATGTTCATGAGCTTACAGCTTCTCCCACAGGCCAAGGGGAGGCACTGGAAGATCTGAAGATGGGGAGAGGGAACAAACAGGCTTACTTACTTGCTAATGGGGAAAAAAGGTCATTTCAGAGAAATTATATGTGCAAGAAATCAGAGCTGTTATCACTTTTATACAAGTATTAAGAGTATAAAGATAGGGTGTCAGTGATTGCAGATAACTCCTCAGAAGTCTTTGCCAGGTTGTAAGTAACTGATTTGCAAGCCAGGGGTTGCCACGAGGTAAACGGACTGCAATGTGAACCTTCAGCGCCCCCTAACCTAATCAGAAGTCCGAGATCGCAATGGTGTCCTGACTATAGATGCAAACAAAATAAAAGTTAAAACCCCATCAGGGTTTTACTGGTGTCACCTGGGATTCTGTCCCCTCTGCTGACTACAGAATTCAAGGCCACCTGGCAGGGCTGGCAGGGCAAACAGGAAGGGCAAAAGCCAGGGGTGGAGCTGCCCTGACCCTGGGACCCGGGAGGAAGAAACCAGCCCAGCGCTGTGTTCTCCCCTGAATACAGAAGCAATCCCGACCCCCAGCCCCCTCGATATGGGCCTTCACTGGACTCCTAACACGACCATGACTGTCAATGCCGGAAATGTCAAAGTCCCCCTACGATCCAGTGGAAGTTTCTTAAGAATGAGAAACAGCAGTTGAACAAGGTCTTCATTATTCAGACCCAAAGCAAAGTTTTATAAAGTATTCGAATATGTCCCACATCCCTAGAGGCAAAGGGACTGCTGACCCCTAAAGGCCCCTTCTGACTCTCAGACGCAACCACAAGTCCTTCTGGGGTATATTTGGAAGGAGCACATCCTGTGTGAGGGGCGTCAGTGCCCAGACACGCACAGGACGGCGGGGGGAAGAGCATCTTTCCAGATGCCCGGGGAAGCCCGGGAAGGAACGCCAAGTCATGTCCCTTTATAAACAGCCCCGGTCCTGACGCCAAACTCAAGAGCAACCAGACCTCCTCCCCCCACCAGGAGAATGCTTCTTTCTGGGCTACAGAGCCAAAGGAAAGGCCTGGAAAGTCTCGCCCTTTGCTGTGAGTCAGGGCAAGACGGGAAGACAGCAGGGAAGTAATATTCTGCACTGTTCATGTCGAAAGGAAACAGAAGATGGTACTTGTTAGAGATATCTGATTAGGACTTGAGCTCAAGGAAAGACAGGGAAGCCCAGAATTCCGACTACTTGAAATTGGCCTGAAATTAGAAAGGAAAGAAAAGATCCCACTGGCTCCTTCACTCACTAGGGGTGTACAACCACATGCACCAGGATGAAGGTTCAAGCGGAAGCTACTTTCTCTCTTTTTAAATTAAAAAAAAATTTCCCAGTGATCTTTCGTCTGCAAAGATCACATTCCGATTTAATTCTGTGTTTTCACAGCGAGCTTTTGCCTGGAATGTTTCTTAACTGTGCTCACAGCTCTCTTGGATAGTTATCAATTCCAAAAGCAACAGGAAATAGCAGACGATGACCTACTCCCCTCTTCCACTGGGGTTTGAAGTCAAATCATAGATCAGAGCAACAGCATTCTTAACGGTGACAAGATACAAAAAGGCACTTTCAAACTTCTGCCCATTAAAGCAAGAGCCATGGAGACTAGCAGACATTATTTAAATAGCACACTGGCTTCCAGAAAAGAGTGCAAGGTTTATGACCGAAGTCAAACATGCTGAACTCAACCTCAGCTTGACAATCCTGCTGTATCATCTCTTCTAAAGGAGCCAAAGAAGGAAAAACAGGTCCCGGGACACAGGGACCCTTCCAGAGTATCACTTGCTGGGAAATGTTAAATGGAAATTGGAAAAGCTATACTTGGCCCTGAGTAAGAAGAAATACCGAAGAAGCTCATATATTTTAAAGATGTATCATTGATTTTGAGGGTTTTCCCGAGGGAACAAGATGATTTTATGTAGCAAATACCACTGGCATGACAGTGTCTTCGGATTGGAAACATTTCCAAGTCAGCCGATGAGTCACCGATTTAGCAACATGAAATATGTGGCCCTTTCAGTGCACAAGGATGTTTACAGGTCCTTGGATTTTTGTTGTCATGGACATTAACCTTGAGAAAACATATCCACATTAAGTAGCCTTGACTTGTTGAATGTAAGCACCTTCCTTTATACCTATGTGCCGGTCCCACTCCCTGGAAAACCTTTATCCGGGATCTGTGCCTGAGAAAGTCCTGTGTGAAGAGTCCTTGGCTTAAATCGGCATCTGTAAGTTAATGGATTGAGGTTAAGTGTCGGGGGTGGCCTGGGCCACAATGCCATGCACTTTTATCATCAGTGATGCAACCAAAAAGCTGAGAAATGTCCGTCAAAGTTCAG